ATATGCTAATACATTACCCATAAATCTGTGCACCTTATGCAGTAGCCTTTTGTGCGGCATTTTGTCGAATGCCTTCTGGAAGTCCACATATACACATTGACTGGTTCCCCATTGTCCACCACACTCAGAATATCCTCAAAGAATTACAGTAAGTTAGTTAAGCATGACCTGCGTTTCATGAACACATGCTGCCTCTGCCCAATAGGACAATTTCTATCGAAATGTCTCACTATCTCTTCCTTAATTATTGTGTGTTGTATAGAGCCTTTTGCTAAGTCCATCAGAAGGATGTGAGCCTACGAGGGGTGACTGTTCCAGGCAGCGGAGGCCTGCAGGTCAAAGCCTCCTTGTACATGGATGATGTCGCCATTTTCTGCTTGGATCCACAGTCAGTGTGTCGATTCATGAGCCTCTGCAATTAGTTCGATCCAGCCTCAGGAGCCAAAGTAAATCGAGGCGAGAGTGAACGATGTTCTTTGGGAACAAGGCCAACCGATCCTTTATCCCCTTCACCATCAGGACAGATTACCTGAAGGTGCTAGGAACTTGGTTCAGAGGGGCTGGGTCATATGCAAAATTTTGGGAGAAGCGCATTGCCATAGTGAAGCAGAAATTGGTTTTTTGGGAGCACTGTTCCCTCTCCATTGTGGGCAAAAACCTGGTCATCAGGTGTGAGGCACTGTCTCTCTTGTTGTAAGTGGCATAGGTCTGACTCATTTTCCAAATCTGTGCTGTTGCAGTTACCCAAATCAACTTCCACTTCATCTGGAGGTCTAAGATGGACAGTATCTGCAGGGACTCCATGTACAAAACTCTGGATAAGGGGGAAAGGAATGTACCCAGCGCTGCCGTCATCCTGATTGCAACCTTTGTGTGCTGCTGCACCAAGTATTTGGATCGTTCCATATCACCTGTCCTTTGTAGAGAAATTTATAAAGAAAAACACCTTTGACCACAAGTCCATCAGGAAGTGGTCAGCACATAGCATCCTCGAGGCCCTGTGGGAAAAGGAGAGGATGGATCCTGCCACGTGGTTTTCTCAAGTAGACTGTCAAAGTCATTTGGAAGAATTCCTCAACACCAGAACTTTCCAACAACCACCAAGACATCGCTTGGCTGGTGGTGAGAAGGGCACGAGACATCTGAGATCCTTCATGTCTACCTGGACAGTCTGTGCCACTGCATGCTGCCCTCAGAGCAGCTGTGGGAGGTTGAGACTGTCACACGTCTCCTGGAATGTGCTTTTGCAAAGGAAGTCTGGAGAGAGATGCAGTTGGTTTTGGCGAGGTTCTTCCTGGGCAGATCCGTGATGCAGGACTCTATGCTGTATGGTCTGTTCCCCGGGACATTCACCAAGGCAAACATCAACTGCGCCTGGAGGACCATTAACTCAGTTTCTGCTCAAAACTTGTTGGTCTTGTGTATGTAAGAAATGTCTTTGGTTTATTTGGATAGAGTTAAACTCCAATGTTTGTTTGTTCCCTTGATATGTTACTGTACAGAACCAAACTGCATTTGTGACTCATATATCATTTATATATACATCATACATACACACAAGTAAAGATATCTTTTATGAATAAAATATATTTTTGAATAAAAAAAAGCTTACTGAAGTTAAGCTAATGGGCCTATAGTTACCCGCCTCTTGTCTACCCCATTTTTTAAACAGTGGTGTTACATTTGCCGTTTTCCAATCGCCTCAGGGTCCAGTGAATTTTGGTAAATTACCACGAGAACATTTGCTATTTCCCCTGCCACTCTGGGATGCATTCCATCAGGGCCAAGAGACTTGTCTATCTTAGCCCCAAAATACCTCCTTAGTGATAAGGATCATTTCTAGGTCCTCACCTGCCATAGCCTCCTTATCATCAATTATTGACATGTTATTTGTGTCTTCCACTGTGAAGACTGACATAAAAAACCTGTTCAACGCTTTGGCCATTTCCTCATTTTCCCATTATTAAATCCCCCTTCTTATCCTCTAAAAGACCAATGTTTACCTTAACTACTCTTTTTCGTTTTATATATTTGTGGAAACATCTGCTATCTGTTTTTATATTTTGAGCTAGTTTGCTCTCATAATCCATCTAACTTTTCTTTTATAGCTTTTTCTGTGGCTTTCTGTTGACCTTTAAAGATTTCCCAATTCCCTACTTGCCCAGTAATCTTTGCCACTTTGTATGCATTAGCTGTCCATCTGATACTCTCCTTTATTTCCTTAGCTATCAAGGCTGATTATCTCTTTTCTTATAGTCCTTCCTTTTAACTGGTATATACTTCTGAGAAATGTGAAAAATCATTTTGGAAGTCCTCTACTGTTCCTCAATTGTCCCACCATATAGTCTTTGCTCCCAGTCTACCTTAGCCAACTCCTCCCTCATCCCATTGTAGTCTCCTTTGTTTAAGCACAAGGCACTGGATTTTACCTTCTCACCCTCTACATGTATTTTAAATTCAACCATATTATAATCACTCCTTCAAAAGGATCCCTAACTATGAGATAATCAATTATTCCTGTCTCATTACAGAGGACTAGATATAGGATGTCTTGCTCCTTCGTGGGTTTCATTACGTACTGTTTGGGGAAACTATCGCAAGCACATTCTATGAACTCCTTGAGGCTGCCTTGACCGACTTGGTTTGACTAATCAAAATGTAGATTAAAATCCCCCATGATAATTGCTGTACTGTTTTTACATGATCAGTTGTTTCTTTGTTTATTGCCTGTCCCATCGGACCTACAGACTACATTATCAGTGACTTTTTCCCCTTACTATTTTTAATTTCCAACCACATTGATTCAGCATTTTTCTCCATAGAACCCACTACTACCCTGATGTCATCCTTAAATATCAGAGCTACACCACCTCCCTTTCCTTTCTGTCTGTCCTTCCAAATAGTCTGAATAAATAACCCTCCCAGTTGTGACCATCCTGCAACCATGTCTCTTTAGTAGTCACTAAATCATATGCAATTGCGATGATTTGTGCTGCCGACTCATTTACCTTATTTTCAATAGAGACAAAAAAATTGCAGATGCTGGAATCCAAGGTAGACAAACAGAGGGCTGGAAGAACATAGCAAGCCAGGCAGCATCTGGAGGAAAGGAGCAGTCAACATTTCAGCTATTACCCTTCTTCAGGATTGGATGTGGGGATAGGAGGAGCTGCAGATAAAGAGGTGGGGAGGAGTAGAGACAGAATGGTGGTGATAGGTGGACACTGGTAGTAGTAGTCCTGAAGAAAGGTAATACCAAAAACATTGACTGCTCCTTTCCTCCAGACATTGCCTGGCTTGCTGTGTTTTTCCAGCCTCCTGTTTGCCTACCTTATTTTGAATTCTGCAAGCATTCAGATAAAGTGCACTGTTAATTTGTAGTGACTGAGCTGACTTCTCCCAGAATGCTCCTCAGTGATGCCTCTCTGCTGGATCATACACTTGGATATCGTGCATACTCATCTAGGTATTTCTTCTGTCCCAGTTTCAATGGCTGGATGAGACAGCAGCAGGAGACGCAGAACATTCTGATTAATCAGAAAGGCCTTGATGAACTCTGACCTTCATTATGGGTTTCCAAAATTGTGGCTGGTCTGGGATCTGCTGTAGTCAAAGCAGTAGCCACATTCCTGGCAGATCTTGTAGAGGCTGCGTCCTGTCTTGCAGGCTGGATGCCATGATTTCAGGCAATTAATTGCCTGACACAGAATCTGGACTTGGTTACCAGAGCTGTGGTGTTGCTTCTGGCTCCCTGACCGGTGGGTCAGGCAATCTCGTTGATGTTAAGTATTAGCCCTGATTTCTCATCCATTATGTTCTCTTCCATCAATCTTCTTAGGGTCTGTGGAGACACCATTATTCATTAAGGGTTTTAGATAAATAATATTAAATTTTTCCTTGCATGCTCCTTCAAAGGCTTCCTCACCACAACTCCAAATGTAATTTTCACAAAGGATTAGAATGTTCCCTGTGCACCTTCAGATATACTCTTGTGGTTTTGTTTTCATGGGGTGTGAACATTGCTGGATAGCCCAGCATTAATTGTCCATATATAATTGCAGTTGAGGAGATGGTGTCGTCTTGACTTGTTGTAGGTGCCTGCGATGCATACCCACAGTGCTGTCAGAGTTCCAGAAATTTTTCTCATTGACAGTGATATAGTTCCATGTATGAGTGGTATGTGGTTTGGGGGGGATTCTTGTAAGTGATGGTGTTCTCATACATATGCTGACCTTGTTTTTCTCTGTGGTGGAGATTAAAGGTTTGGATGGTGCTGCCAAAGGAGCTTGAGTTGCCTCAGTCCATCTTGTAAATGGTGCACACCTCGGCCACTATATGCCAGTGGTAGAGTGGGTAAATGCTGATGGTGGTGATTGGTGCCATTAATACAGAATGCTTTGTCCTGGATGGTGTTGAGTTTGAGTGTTATTGGAGTTGCATTAATCCAGGCAATTGATAGTATTCCATAACACTCCTGAACTGTGCTTCCCTAAGTTTCTGTAATATAAACTAGACTTGAAACATAACTGCATTAGCACCTACCTTACTTTTCTCAGATCATTTAATGTTTTCTCCCACGTTGCAGGAATATTCTGAATTACAGAAAATCTGCTTATCAGGACAACTTCCCTTGAAAGTGCACAAGCTCCAAAGTTTTCAGTTATTTTGTGTTCTGAGTCAAGAATGATGTCACTCCTCTAATAGAATCTCCAACTTACTTTCAGTACACTTTGCAGCTGTTTTCATCTTGTTCACTGCTGCAATTTCTGCTTCCTGTTTTGTCAGGGGTTTGTGAGATAGCTGACAAGGTCAAAATCAGAGTCATAGGGAGTCAAGAATCTGAGCTTCATTTTGAAATCTTTTTTATTTTAATGAAATCTGACATAAAATGTATTTCTATAATTAGTAATTCCTGTTCTTTCCAAGATAAAAATGTACTTTTGTGAAGTGTTTTGATGTCAGGTTCTGAAATGTTTTCTCTTGTCATATGTTCTGTGTAGGCTGAATCTCCACTGCTAATTCGTCCATATATATCGGATCTCACAAAGTCTGAAATTCATTCTGTAATGACTAGTGGATTTGCTACCATTGCAGGATCTGTCCTGGGGGCATATGTTTCATTTGGGGTGAGTGATTGACATAGTCTGTTAAATGAGTTAATAAGTAGAAGCTTTTTGTTCTGTTAAGATTGTGTATACTTTTAATACCTAAGGCAATTCAGAATAAAACAATTTTTCCTTGTTTTAATATGGCTTATAGACCAAAACACTGAATTATTCTCCTTGCATTAGAAAAGGGCCAGAACTCTGCTTCAGCCTCCAGCCTTGACTTAGTTTCTTTAGTTAAGAGAAATGTCTAAGTAGCAGAAGCTCCTGCAAGGAGCTCAGTACAGACAGGGAGCTCCCTGCTACTTAGGAGAAAGATGTGGCAATGGAGAAACTGGTTACTTTTACTAGATCATGAAGAGAGAGGAGGCTGATGTTAAGGAGGACATGTTTGATTTTACTGTTCATCGGATTTGGGCGTTGTTGGTCATCTTTCTATCTTTGAGAAAACAAAAACACGAGCTGCCGTGCTATACTGCCCTGCACTCAGTATGTGATAGGAACACTGTAATATGTAGTATACTGTACTTACATATGTAAGGTAGGGAATTCCAAGATTTAAACCCAAAAGTATTGATGAAATGGTAACATTTTTCAAAGTCACTGTGATGTGTGATTCAAAGGGGATGTTGCAGATAGTAGTGCCTCTGCGTGCTTGCTTAATTTTTCTTGCCTAAACAATGGAAATTGTGGATTAGGCAGGTGCCATGATAAATTATTATACATAATGTACAATTGGTTGGTGAAGATTGAGTTGAATGCTTAAATTGATGGATGACATGCCAGTCATGTGAGCTGTTTTGCACTGGTTGGTTGAAGGTTGCTTAATGGTTATTGTAGATATACTCCTCCAGGAAATGGGAAGTATTTCCCATTACACTCATGGTTTGTGTCATATAGATGATAAAAAGGACTTTGGGGAGGTTTATTGCTCACCACAAAATTCTCAGCCTCTGCCCTGCTCTTGTTGCCACAGTATTTAAGTGACTGGTCAGTGGCTAACCCAGGATGTTGATGGCAGGGCATTCAACAATGGTATTGCCATTGAATTTCAAGGAGAAACACATCATCTTCCTCCAACATCTCTACATTGTTATCCTGCTCCGTGGGACTACTCTCATCTGGTTCTGTTCTTCTTTATCAAATCATAGCCAGAATATCACTTGCAATTACTTTTCTTCTGACTTCTACACTATCACATCTGATGTCTTGGAATGATTGATCCTTGGCCTTTTTCCATTTCTCACTTAAATGCAGCTCTTTGGTGATACCATTTGAAGGTGCAGTGATACTTTTCACATACACAATTATAACCCAGCTTGGTCTCACGATCAGCTCTCTTGACTCTTTACTAGGTTATTAGGCTGCTTGTCCAGTGTCCAGTATTGGATGCACTAAGTGATCCAATCATTTGGAGAGCCAGCAAAGATACGATGGACTGAACAGCCTCCTTTCAAGCCATAACAGTTCTGTCATTCTGGATGTATAGGAATTTCCTTTAGTTTAATACTGGGGAGTCTATAGTCATTGGCCTCAGTACCCACTGTAAACTGTGTTCCCTAATTACCGACTCCCATGAGTTGAGTTTTCTGCGATGGGGTGGAGTTGCTCAAGAAAGTTGGTGATACTGGGCATGTTCCTTACACCACTCTCTCCCCCACCCCCATCCACGACTAACTTGAAATGAGGCTGAGGTGACTATGGGACTCGGTCCCACAGGAAATGGATTTCTTGTGCACGTTACACACTGTTGCCGCTGGGCATCCATGGCGGAGCAACTGAATTTTTGTAGATGTGGTGCCAATCATACGGGCTACTTTGTCCTGGATTGTGTGAAGCTTATTGAGTGTTATTGGAGCTGCAAGAAATTGGGGAGTATTCCACCACACTCCTGATTAGTGCCTTGTTGGCAGTGGATAGGCTTTGAGAAGTCAGGAGGTGAGTCATTGACTGTAAGATTCCTACCTTCCGATCTCATGCAGCCATAGTACTTTACGTGACTAATCCAGTTCAGTTTCTGGTCAATGATAATGCCCAGGATAGGGCATTCAATGATAGTGATACATTTAAATGTCAAGGGGAAATGGTTAGATTCTCTCTTATTGGAAATGGATATTGCCTGCCATTTGCATGGTGCGAATGTTACTTGCCACTTGTCTGGATATTGTCCAGATCTTGTTGCATTTGAATATGGACCACTTCAGTATCTGAGGAGTTGCGATTGCTGCTGAACATTGCCACTACTGATGTTATGGTGGAGGGAAGGTCATTGTTGAAGCAGCTGAAGATGGTTAGGCTAAAAACATTACCTTCAGGTAACTTCTGCAGAAATATCCTGGAGCTGAACTGATGTCTCAGATCGACTGCAGGACATTCTGAAGGGGGAGGCTGAACAGCCAGCTGACGTGGTACATATAGGCACCAATGATACAGGTAACAAACGGGATGAGGTCCTACAAGCAGAATTTAGGGAGTTAGGAGCCAAGTTAGAAAGTAGGACCTCGGAGGTAGTAATCTCAGGATTGCTACCGGTGCCACGTGCTAGTCAGAGTAGAAATGAAAGAATAGACAGGATAAATGAGTGGCTTGAGAGATGGTGCGGGAGGGAGGGGTTCAGATTTTTGGGACTTTGGGACGTTGGGACCGGTTCTGGGGGAGGTAGGACTATTACAAATCGGATGGTCTACACCTGGGCAGGACTGGAACCAATGTCCTAGGGGGTGCTTTTGCTAACGCTGTTGGGGAGGGTTTAAACTAATGTGGCAGGGGGATGGGAACCAAATGAGGTTAGTGGACAGTAAGGAGGTAGTAACTAAAGCCTGTAGGGAACTAGATAATGAAGTTAGTGTGACTAAGGGGAAGAGAAGGCAGAAAGCAGATGATGAACGCAAAGGGACAGGTGGTCTGAGGCACATTTGTTTTAATGCGAGAAGTGTAGTAGGTAAGGCAGATGAACTTAGGGCTTGGATTGGTACCTGGGAGTATGATGTTCTTGCTATTACTGAGACTTGGTTGAGGGAAGGGCAAGATTGGCAACTAAATATCCCAGGATATAGATGCTTCAGGCGGGATAGAGAGGGAGGGAAAAGGGGTGGAGGAGTTGCATTACTGGTCAAAGAGGATATCACAGCTGTGCTGAAGGAGGGCAGTATGGAGGACTCGAGCAGTGAGGCAATATGGGCAGAGCTCAGAAATAGGAAGGGTGCGGTAACAACGTTGGGGCTGTACTACAGTGATTGTGAGATAGAGGTACAAATATGTAGACAGATTATGGAAAGATGTAGGACCAACATTGACTGGGATTCACTTCGTGTTAGGGGTTTAGATGGAGCAGAATTTGTAAGGAGCATCCAGGGGGGTTCTATAGAGCAGTATGTAAATAGTCCAACTCGGGAAGGGGCCAGACTGGACCTGGTGTTGGGGAATGAGCCCGGCCAGGTGGTTGAAGTTTCAGTCGGGGAGTACTTTAGGAATAGTGATCACAATTCCGTAAGTTTTACAATATTCATGGACAAAGACGAGAGTGGTCCTAAAGAAGGAGTGCTAAATTGGGGGAAGGCCAACTATAGTAAAATTCGGCAGGAGCTGGGGAATGTGGATTGGGAGCAGCTGTTTGAGGGTAAATCCACATTTGATATGTGGGAGGCTTTTAAAGAGAGGTTGATTAGAGTGCAGGACAGACATGTCCCTGTGAAAACGAGGGATAGAAAGGGCAAGATTAGGGAACCGTGGATGACAGGTGAAATTGTGAGACTAGCAAAGAGGAAAAAGGAAGCATACATAAGGTCTAGGTGAATGAAAACAGACAAAGCTTTAGAAGAATAACGGGAAAGTAGGACCAATCTGAAACAAGGAATTAAGAGGGCTAAAAGGGATCATGAAATATCTTTAGCAAACAAGGTTAAGGAAAATCCCAAAGCCTTTTATTCGTACATAAGGAGCAAGAGGGTAACTAGAGAAAGGGTTGGCCCACTCAAAGACAAAGGAGGGAAGTTATGCGAGGAGTCAGAGAAAATGAGTGAGATTCTTAATGAGTACTTTGCGTCGGTATTCACTGAGGAGACGGACATGGTGGATGTTGAGGTTAGGGATGGATATTTGGTTATTCTAGGTCAAGTCAGCATAAGGAGAGGGGGGAAGTGTTGGGTATTCTAAAAGGCATTAGGGTGGACAAGTCCCCAGGTTCAGATGGGATCTATCCCAGGTTAGTGAGGGAAGCGAGAGAGGAAGTAGCTGGGGCCTTAACAGATATCTTTGCAGCATCCTTGAGCACAGGTGAGGTCCCGGAGGACTGGAGAATTGTTAATGTTGTCCCCTTGTTTAAGAAAGGTAGCAAGGTTAATACAGGTAATTATAGACTGGTGAGCCTGACGTCAGTGGTGGGGAAGCTGCTGGAGAAGATACTGAGGGATAGGATCTACTTACATTTGGAAGAAAATGGGCTTATTAGTGATAGGCAGCATGGTTTTGTGCAGGCAAGGTCATGTCTTACCAACTTGATAGAATTCTTTGAGGAAGTGACAAAGTTGATAGATGAGGGAAGGGCTGTAGATGTCATACATGTGGACTTCAGTAAGGCGTTTGATCAGGTTCCCCATGGTAGGCTGATGGAGAAAGTGAAGTCGCATGGAGTCCAGGGTGTACTAGCAAGATGGATAGAGAACTGGCTGGGCAACAGGAGACACAGAGTTTTAGTGGAAGGGAGTTTCTCAAAATGGATAACTGTGACCAGTGGTGTTCCACAGGGATCCGTGTTGGGACCACTGTTGTTTGTGATATACATAAATGATCTGGAGGAAGGTATAGATGGTCTGATTAGCAAGTTTGCAGATGACACTAAGATTGGTGGAGTAGCAGATAGTGAAGGGGACTGTCGGAGAATGTAGAAGAATATACAAAAATTGGAGAGTTGGGCGGAGAAATGGCAGATGGCGTTCAATCCAGGCAAATGCGAGGTGATGCATTTTGGAAGATCCAATTCAAGAGCGAACTTATACGGTAAATGGAAAAGCCCTGGGGAA